TTTAGGAACCAAAATTATACAATTTTTATATTTGAGAGATTAAAAATTATTCGATTAAAATCTTAAAAATCAAAAACGTAACTTTATTAAATCAAGACAATTAAACCTATACTTTATTGTAACTTTATTAAATCTCAAACAATCTTCAAGACTTGTATGAAGAAGAATATTGTTAAAAGAAATTTGGTCTATAAATAAATTTTTTTAGTACATCAAGAAATTAATCTTATGTCTCTTGACTTTTGGTCAAAGATATCCTGAGCTAATTAAAGTGCCCCAACTTTTATTTACTAACACAGCATCATATTCTCTAGAATTACAATTCTGATCAAATCAGGCACGCATGTTGCAGGAGAAGTTGATTGGATCGGTTTGTGTTGGTTTTGGTGGATTTGGGTTGTTTTCATCAAGGACTACACATCCTATTGAATTTGGTTCTCATTCCTTAGGAATTCAATTCTGATTCTCTCACATTTTTGGGTTTCTTCTCTCTCCCACAACCATAGTAAATAAAACTATATATTAAATTCCAAATTTAGAAGCTGTTCAGTTCAACTTTGGATTGGTTTCACTCCTCATTTTTTTTTGTCTCCCCCTCTACTTCTCAGGTATGTTTTCCACTTTTCCTTGCTCACTATCACGTATTATTGCCATTAGCTAGTGTTAAAAACCAAATTCATTTGCTTTTATCACTTTCTCAATGGTTTTAACTTGTCTTGCTTTGTGACCATGTTTGGTAGAATGTTATGGTCTTTTGTGACAAATACCATGCACTGAATGCTAGTTAGATTGACTCTTGTGACAAATTCAATTAGCATGATAGTGTCGATGAATTCTATGTATGTGTGTTGAGCATGTTTATTTGAGAAACACGATGATCATTTGTACCACCGACCAAAGTTGAAACAAAAACCAAAACTTTCATGTGTTTTAGTTTCTTGATTCCTTTATTTGTCTTTCCGTTGAGTATATATCTTCATGGCAAATAGTGGAACCATCAATAATTATCATTATCAATTTAATAATTAGTCCATTTACTTATTGATTAACATGAATGATCTCACATAATTAATTGCTTTATTTTCAAAGAGATTATCTTTGACATGGTATTGAAGTTTTTGCAATTAAATAATTAGAAGTTCAACTCAATTTTAACTTTAGCACGCTTAAAATACTTATAAACTGTTCACAGTTTGAATCCAAAACGTTTTCGATATTACTCCATGAAGAAATTTCCCAAATTAGTCCAAATTTGTTTGAAGTAGGATGATGATGCAGTAGTTTGGTTTGCCTTTGAAAATATATATTCACGGGAAAAATAAGAGAAATATGAAGAAAAAAAAACTCAAATCTCACATTGATTAGAAAATAAATAATTAAATAATATATAAGTAAATAACAATCTTTATCTTATAAATTAATTTTATAGGGTTGAATCATGTTTAAATTTACTGTTTTAAGAAGTATTGTTCCTTAATTTATAAATGTTTTGAAGTATTATAATCTTTTTTGTCTATTAAAAAGGTATATTTTCTTCTCATCAAGTAGATTTTTATAAAGACAAAATGATATTTCAAATTATAATTCTAAATCTAAATCAGATATCAAATTTTGATTTTTAATTAAGAAACAAATTTCAAATCATTTAAGTAAACAAGTTTTAGTTAAAAATTATTTATAACACGAAACTATAATGTCTAAAACTTTTGATAATTCGATGTAGACTTGGTGATGGATAGATTAATGAAGGTTGTTTTTGTTTGGTGAAAATGGGTTCTGATATTGAAGTGATAAAATAAACATGAAACCAACGTGTATTTGAACTAGATAGGAAATAGTATGGGTAAGGATTAGCATTAAGTGGACCCAACACTTGGTAGTTGGGCCGTACATCTTTATATTGAGCCCCCCAATTTAGAATATTCGTATGCTCCGTGAATGTAGAAGCAATCACCAAACCAGTCTTTACAAGTGACATTAATTAAAATAATTAATCACCTATATATAATGAGTATAAAGTTTTTTTACACTGGTAACCAATTATATCTTTTAATTGTGTGATGTCACTATAAACACATTTACTTTTAATAATAACATGACATAGTTAAGAGATCTAATTGGTTGCCAGTATAAAAAAACTTTACACTAGCAGTGTATAGGTGATTAACTCTAATTAAAAACCATGTCTTTGACTTAAAAGTTTTTAACTAAATTAATTTTATATTTATATATTTTTAACTAAAGAATCTCCATTTTAAACATAAAGTTATAAAGTTATGATTAAAAATATTATTTTATTCTTATAAAATTGACCAAATTAATAAGAGTTATATATATATATATATATAACTGAGGAGGGATCCGTTTAATTCAGTAGTAAGTTTAGATAGACTTACTTCATTCAATAATTCATGTTCTACATAAAATATTTTTAAAATTTGTAGATTTGATCTATGCATTAAGAAATTTAAATTCAATTATTAGATCGTTGAAATTTGATGTAGAACATGAATCGTTGAATGAAATAAGTCTACATAGACTTATTCCTAAAATAAACAAATCTTTGCTCTATATAAACTAAAACATATGTTTTTCATGGAGAAAAATTAAAGAAATATATCACTAAGAAAAACAAATGCGCATAAATAATATGACTAAAATAAGTTTTATTTTTACATGAAAACTGATTCTTTAAATTAGTTTTTTTTTATAAAAATAAAAAATAAAACATTTTTTTTTCTTTAACAAAGAAAAAGTTTTATGTTTGAAAATGATAGCATTTTACTTTAATCATTATTTAATTTCATTTAAAAGTCCTCACGGTTTCGGTCTGTCACGTATTTAATTGCATTATTCAAAGTTATCAACGATTGGCATTGACATGATGAATGCACGTGTAGTTTTTGCTAATCTTGATCTTTAGAATTCTTTTCCACCCTTTATTTTGATGATTCTTTTTCAAGTCTCATTTTGTGGTAAGCAAACAGTGAACAGCAGAATGAATAATTTAAGTTCGTCAAATAAAGACATTTATCTCTTAGCATTGGATGAATTTGGAATTTGATTTCGAAAACTTATATAATAGCGTATATTTGAAGAATTATACTATACAATAGGTCATATAATGACATAAATAAAATATTTGATACAGTTTTAACAAATCTTAAAAAAAATAGTATGGTTTCTTTAGTTTACTTTTATGTTATCATTTATTATCGATAAAATATATTGTTTTATTTGTAAAACTATTGCTTATGTTTGTATCTTATAAAATAATATATATGAATTATTATAAAATTTATTTATTTTTAATTATTCACTGTGACATGAAAATTTTCTTATGATAACATAACTCTTAGGAAATAGAAGGATGTACTTAACTTTTTTAATATATCCCAAGTTATATATTTTCTGCCTCATCTTGGTACTCTTTCTTCTTTTAAAATATAAACAGAGTTGATCACTTATACATTACTAATGTAAAGTTTTTGTACACTGATAACCAATTATATCTTTTAATTGTGTCATGTCACTGTTAAAAGTAAATATATTTACAGTGACATGACACAATTAAAAGATATAATTAGTTGCAAGTGTAAAAAAACTTTACACTGACAGTGTATAGGTGATTAACTCACATACAAATATCAGGGTTTCGTTTGTGATCTCTATAGTGGAAAAATATTTGTTGTGTACTAATTTTAGCCTTTCACTTTTGGTTAGAAGTAATTTTAAAAAAAATAATAATCAAAGAAACAGAATAATAATCAATAATTTTATAAAAATAATGAAAAATTATCAAACTTTTCAAAGATTTATCTTTTCTCTCTATATATATATATATTGATTAAAAATAAAATATATGAAACCTCAAATAGGAGTATATGATTTGTTTTATTTAAAGTCTTATTTAATTTGACTTATTTAATAAAATGAAAAAATTTAAATATAATTTTTAAGTGTGGTTAGTACTATTTTTCAATAATTATATATTAATTTTGAATTTTTAAGAAAAACAGGAAACGAGAGTAATATATATATATATATATATATATATATATATATATAGAGGGTTCAAACGACACCGGTGTAACTTTTACTAAGTGTTACACCACTCAATAATTATATATTAATTTTGAATTTTGAAAATCCAACCGTTAGATTGAAAGTTCATATATCTTAGATCATATATACAAAATTTTATATTAACCCAAGATTATTTGATACTTTGTTCTCATAAAACAAAATTGACGTAATATATTCATTTCAAAATATACTAAAATATGAACACATTGTTTACCTTTAAGTTGTGGTTCAAATTTAACAAAATTTGACATATATGATCTAAGTGATATGAACTTTCAATCTAACGGTTGAATTTTCAAAATTCAAAATTAATATATAATTATTGAGTGGTGTAACACTTAGTAAAAGTTACACAGGTGTCGTTTGAACCCTCCTCATATATATAAATATTCATATTAAATTTTAAAGGTAATCACATGATTTACAATGTTACCATAGTCGATCATATCAATAAGAGCAAGATTCAGAAAGATATGAAAATTAGATTCTTTCAACAATTAATTACATGTATAATCGATTGTATTATAATGAGAATAATTTTTTGTTTAGGTAAACTTATGTAAAAAAACTTTTAAAATATTTTATTTCACAGTTGATTTACAATATTATCATAGCTAATCATATCAATAAGAGTATGTTTCAAAAAGATGTGAAAAATATATTCTTTCAACAATTAATTAAAAATTTTAATCGATTATGTTATAATTAGAATATTTTTTTTGTTCAGGTAAACTTAATTAAGAATGATTGAGATATTTTGTTTCGTTTGAATACAACAAAAAATCAATTTTTATGAAATAAATCAAATTAAAAAAATTTAAAAAGTAATCTTACATTTTAAAATTTTAAATTCACGAAAACAACTTATTTTTTATAGAAATAAAAGTTGCTTACAAATTTTAACTATTATCTTAAAATATACAATTTTCTTTACAAATATTTTTTTTTTCTTATTAAAAACAACTGAAATGGTGAAAATTGATTTTTGTCAAATATGCTCTAAGATCACTCCTTAATATTTTTCTACAATCAATCTATCCCTATACTTTTAAGCTAAGATACACTTTTGATAAAAGAGACAAAATAAAATCCATGCCAAACAAATGCAATAATTTCTAGTATTTTTTTTATGCAAGTATATATAATATATGATGTAATTATTTTTTCTTTTTTTTTTCTTGAGAAAATTATATATATATTTTTTCTAAGATCACCATATCTACACTATCTGCTGACTTTGATCCACATGGTGTGTCACGTTTTTGTAGTAATCCGTGTCGTTTGTCCCATTATTACCAAACTTTTACTAGAATATTTATGTTGACATTGACCAGAGATGTTGCTTATGTATATTTCCTGCTTCTCTGGCACAAATACATTACCTTTTTGAACTTTTTTCTTTCCCATGGTAGCTATATATACCCTTTAAGAAAATCAATTCTGCAACATCTATTTTCCGCATCTTGAAATATCACTGTCAAAAAGTTTGAACTTTTGTGTTGGTCTTTTCAATATTTTGAGTTGCATAAGGGAACAAAACAATGAATGCACTAGCAGCCACCAACAGGAACTTCAGGTTGGCCTCCAGGCTCCTGGGGTTGGATCCCAAGCTTGAGAAAAGTTTGCTGATTCCATTCAGAGAAATCAAGGCAAGTAAACCTGCAAAATAATTTGTTCTTTAACATTTCTTTTCTTCTTTTTTGTAAAGGAAAGTGTCAAATGAAAAGGACAAAACTCGGGTTCAGTTATTCAAGTAGACTAATATTTATCTCTAATTAGAATTAGATTTTTATTTCGATAATACATGTAAGTATATATGAATGATATCTGCATAAAATGTAAATATATATTAATGAAGTAAAACTCTAATTAATAGAGAATATCACATACCAAACCTAAGGATTTTGTCCTTAATTAAATGGTATGAAACAATTTTCTTGAAGAAAAGACATTGTCCCTATCACATACCATTCTTATTGCTGTCAATTTTTGAATGAGGGTTTCAAGTCTGACTTACTACATTAAAATGAGTCCTCTAATCTTCATCTGATAGTTCCAATTTGCTGACCGTGTGAATGTGTGAAAAACTTGCTGCATTTATGTAACTACATATCCCTTTCTTTATTGGTTAGAAAATCATTCATAAAACTTATTTGAAAAAGTCATCTGTGCAAAATAGCATTATGTTTGTCAAATCACATTTACCTAAAGATTATGACACCTTGATGATTTTTGTTGTGCTTGCTATGTCTCTACCAGATATGCATAACATAATTCAACTACTCCTGTTCTAAATCTTGATTATTGAAAATGCAGGTTGAGTGTACCATCCCCAAAGACGATGGCACCTTGGCCACTTTTGTTGGATTCAGGGTTCAACATGATAATGCCAGAGGCCCCATGAAAGGAGGGATCAGATACCATCCTGAGGTTACTTAATTCTGACTTTCAAAATCCTCAGTTACTGAAATTAAACTATAAATCGAAAAGTGAAAATGTTCAGTTTCATAATAAATAGGTGGTGTTATAGATTTTTATCGATAATGTTCAGTTTTCTTTCCCTTATATTTTTAAGAGAAAATAGGTGGTGTTATGTTTACAATTGACTTTCATAATAAATAAGTAAAAAAGTTATACCAACAGAATGTTTAATTTGTTGATAATGTAAAATTACCTTACACTATCGGTATATGACTTTTAAACTCATATTTTTATACCTTTGCCCAAAATTATATTTGTTGGTCAAAACTAGTCTTAGTTCCTATAGTTTAAAAACAATGATTTTGGTCATCGTGTATTTTATGATTGATGAATTCAGTCCTTCACCCTATTAGGCCAAGTTTCATAAAAAGGAATGAAATTCACCAATTATGAGAAATACGATGAACAAAATAATTGTTTTGAAATATAAGGCAAAGACCAATTTTGACAAAAATTGAGGAACCTAAACATTTTACTATAGTTAATATAGGGATGATTCCACCAAATCCCCAACCACATATGTAACAAAAGCAGCAAATTGAATTGGGCCAGAACTGTTGGTATGATTTTAGTAGCTTTTCTGTTTCTAGGTTCAATGTTCTCTCACTCAAAGATATGTATTGGCTTGGGTAGGTTGAACCAGATGAAGTGAATGCTTTGGCACAACTTATGACATGGAAGACAGCTGTAGCAAACATACCATATGGTGGTGCCAAGGGAGGGATAGGGTGTGACCCTGCAGAATTAAGTTCGTCAGAGTTGGAAAGACTCACTAGAGTTTTCACTCAGAAAATTCATGATCTGATTGGAGTGCAGACAGATGTGCCAGCACCTGATATGGGAACAGGACCACAGGTATGTGCAACAGTTAAGCTTTGTGAATTTCTGATGATTATGCTTATCTATATGCTTAAGAAATGACTTTCTTATGATTTCCTTTCTTCAAATTGGACTTCAATATAAAACACTCACTATCTTACTACATGGTTGTGAATGCAGACTATGGCATGGATACTAGATGAGTATTCCAAATTTCATGGCCACTCGCCTGCAGTAGTGACTGGAAAACCTATTGTAAGTAGATTAAAATGTTTGTATTTATCATCTTAATGGGCCTACCTATATGCATAAACAAACCAATGAGCAATACTTTGAACATTCTAACACTTTCTATAAAATTGGGCTATTATTTGAAATTCATGTGAATTCTACTAAACAAGGAGGTTTAACTCCCTATTTGGTGGATCGAACAATAATTTCAACCAATAATGAAGAGTGTTTAGAAAAATGTGTTGATAACATCTAAATCAATTCCCATATCTAATTATTCATGTTCAAACAAGGATCTCGGTGGATCTCTAGGCAGAGATGCAGCCACAGGACGAGGAGTCCTGTTTGGAACTGAGGCTTTGCTTAAGGAGCATGGGAGGAGTGTATCTGGACAACGGTTTGTGATACAGGTACTTCTTGTTTTATATTAGTCAACTTGATTTTTAATTAGCTAGTGAAAACAGAATTCATTATATGTTAATGTATGGAGCCTCTAACATCATGCACTATAGTTTGAAAATGATGTGCACTAATGGAGATATAATGGTTAAGTGTAAAATTCTACAATAAGTTGATCAGTTCATGCCTTCATGAGTTAATATTTTGATGAATTTGAGACAACCATGCAAAAATTTTGATCAGTTCATGCACTATAGTTAATATTTTGTTGTCTCTCTTCAGGGTTTTGGAAATGTGGGGTCTTGGGCTGCACAATTGATCAGTGAGAAAGGTGGGAAAGTTGTTGCTGTGAGTGACATAACTGGGGCCATAAAGAATAGCAATGGACTTGACATTCCAAGCCTACTCAAGCATTCTAGAGAACACAGAGGAATAAAAGGATTCCATGGTGGTGATCCAATTGATCCTAAGTCAATTTTGGTTGAAGACTGTGATGTTCTTATTCCAGCAGCTCTTGGAGGAGTCATCAACAGGTGCTTTTACTTAAGGATAAAACTTAGATGCAATACCTACGGTATTGTTAATACTATTCTCCAATCAGAATTGAAGTTTTATCTTAATATTAAGCATAAATGCATATTACCGAGGTTTGCATCAAATGTAAATGCATAATACTAAGGTGAAACTTCTATTCTGATTGGAGAACAACACCAACAATACTCATGGTACTGTATTACTTAAACTTTGTTCTTTACTTAACTACAAAATTCTTGTTTATATAACTACTCAGTCTCAGATCACTGTATTATCATCAAATCATACCTAGGAAGCAAAATGCACCATGTTTTTTTTTTCATGAGTAAATTAACTTCCACTTTAGTCCATGAGATGATTTAATCTCAAACTTCACAAAATTCTACTTTGGTCTTTGGCTTTGCACAATGTAGTAAAATATCATACACTGAATTTCCAAATGTCAGTGGAATTTATGAAGACAATGGCTAAAGAGAAGTTTAAATCGTTGTTACTTCAATACTTTCTGACAGAGGAGCTAGACAATATTGGTTGTAGCATAAATTTATTGCCTGCACTTCTTAAGCATCATGAACATAAGTCTAAACCTTTTGTTTTACCTCTTTTTATATGGTTTAAGGGAAAACGCAAATGAGATTAAAGCCAAATTTATTGTTGAAGCAGCCAATCACCCAACTGATCCAGAGGCTGATGAGGTTAGTTTGTATTCTTTATTCTATTACTTTCATAAAAAGCAAATAGAAGAAAGATAAGAAGAGAAACATGCACTGTTTTTAATTATCACCTTACTTTGCAGATTCTGAAAAAGAAAGGGGTTGTGATCCTGCCAGATATACTTGCAAATTCAGGAGGAGTCACAGTTAGCTACTTTGAGTGGGTGCAGGTAACTATTTTGATAATTAACTATTATGATTTGGATACACTCATTAATTTTTTTTCATATCACGAGAGAAAAACCAAAAAACAAAAAAACAATAGTAAGATGTAATATTTTGAGAAGTGTTAACAACACAGTCTTTAACGCTCTTGTTTAATACACTATATTTTTTATTGAATGAAATTCATAAATATCCCATTAATTTGGAAATGAGAACTACTAAATGGGAAATGATATTCTTTACTAAGAAATCTCAGAAAAATATTATGTGGTATATAAAATTTCATGTTTGATTTAATTACTCTATTATTTTAATTAATTGTTTGATAATGAGGAGTTGTTCATGAAAGCAGATTTATCGGTTCTTAGTGGTGAGATTAATGGACCGCGATTATGATATTAAGGAACAGTGGTCCATGATAAGTAGATTTATTTGTTCCATTGTCTGATAAAATTAAGATTAAAATTAGAATTCTGTTTATTTCTCTAAATAATTAGATATTCGGTAAATTATTTATAATAGAGTCTAGTAGCAATGACTACTACAAGAGTTACACTTATGCTATTATAAATTAAAGTTTAATATTTCTTACAAGATTACCAATAGAGGAGTGTCTAAGAAAATATTAGAAAATGTGTTATAGTATCTATTAATTATCTATACATTTTTTTCTTTCTTTCATGAGATAACATTTTCATTTTACTTTACAACATGAGTGGATCCATTTCATGTAGCCACTATAAGGTTAATTAACTGATGAGTATTGTCATACACAGAACATACAAGGGTTCATGTGGGATGAGGAGAAGGTGAACAATGAGCTAAGGACATACATGACCAAAGGTTTTAAGGATGTGAAGAACATGTGCAAGACCCATAATTGTGATCTTCGTATGGGAGCATTCACCCTTGCAGTTAACCGTGTTGCAAGAGCCACTGTCCTTAGGGGATGGGAAGCTTGACCTCATAATATTGATCATACTTTGGACAAAGAGAAACATTGTTAGGGAAGCTTACATGGATTTTATCAAATAAAGAAAGAAATTCATTTTCAATTCATATGTCTTATTGTTTTTTTCTTCAAAATTGTATTGTTTATTTGTATTTTAGGATCATAATTTCAAATTGTAATTCTTATGAATATGTTTGATTTGTGACTTGGATGTATTTTTTTGACGATATATGATCATTGCAAATGAGAAGGTGAATAACATTGGAAAAACAAACAAGCTTGACTCATATATGATAAACTTATCTAAAAACATTATAGGAAATTAAAATAGGACGGAAAAAGAAAATAAATTTCTTCAAAAGTTAAAATGAATTTATATATAACATAAGTTAAAATTAACTTATGCATAAGTTAATTTATGAAAATTCAATATAATGGTCTTCAGATTATGGACATTTAAATTTAAATTTAATTTGTTATTATTATAAAAAATGTGCATCTAAATTATAATATTTTTCTTATTAATTGTAAAATTTCCAACAATTTATTTTTTACTTTTTGACAAATGACAATTTCATTGACATTAAAAATTGTGGAATCACGAAACGCATATACTTCAAAGAAATCAAAAAATGCAGACTTCACGGACGTAAATTCTTCACTTTTCTATATTTTTTTCCTTTTCATTAAATCTTAATTTCTATCAAAATTATTTATTTTTTAACATAATGAAAAGTCTAAATCTTATCTTAATACTACTAAATCTAAGATAGTCTCTAATTTTTTTTTTGTTGCTAATCATGTCATTATACATGTTAAATTCAAATATTTCTTATGTTAAATTCAAATATTTCTTATCTTAATACTACTTACGTATAATTATAATATAATTAAAGTAATCATATATATTATAGTGTATTTTACTTTATATATAATGTAGTAATAACAATTATCAAATGATATTCTTTTCTATAAAAACAACGATAAATAACTACAAAAATGTTGGATGGAAAACATTTTAAACTTCATGGAAAAATCAATTTTGAAAAATTATATTATTACTCTTTATTATTATTGGAATAAAAAAAAGAGTAAACATCCTTATTATTTTCTTCATATTATAAGTCTAAATTTTGTAGGTCCATTAAAAAAAATTAATTTAAATAAGTAAAAAATTTATCAATCTCTATCAAAGAAAAAAGTATGTATATACAAATACACGTTAATATATTTGACATAATATGTGTCATATAAATAAATTTGAATATAATATATCAACATAATGTTATCAATCATTTAAAAAAAATCAAGTAACTAACGCGCCGACCTCGTGTTTCGAAATACGAAACGACTTTTGCACACGTGGCATCTTGACAGGTGGACAAACGCGAGGGGTCACTTCCCCCTGGCGAGCTCGGTCTTAACTCCTCGACCTACGGTCTTCGGAGCTCGGGGGGCTAGTGTACTGACCGTACCGCGAAGCCGAGCTCCAAGCTCGGCATCACAGTGCCAGATGATCTCGAGCACGCGTCATACGACGTCAGCTCGACATTCAGGTGGATCACAACTGATTCCCGAGAATCTCGCCCATATGAGACCCATTATCTAATCACTGATTAGCGAAGATCTCGCTCCAGACGAGATCCGCTATCATATCTTATCTCAGGCCCAGAGCCCAAAGCAACCCTAATTCACTCTAAGGTATGTGCATTACTTATACGAGACTATTACTCATACAAACTCTAACTTTGGCATCGGAGTCTCTTTTGCAGGTACCTCCCCCATCTTGGAGCACCAATACATCAAGCAAAGGAGGCTCACCGATCTTACTGGACGGATCACCCCTACGGTTAAATTCCGGTAAGAACATTTGGCGCCCACCGTGGGGCCGATCAAGACAACTCTTATCGGCCACCTGCATGGTTTCTACTAGAAGCCACATCAGACGAGCAGCAGACGACGCAAGCCACTCAACTACCATGGACAGCGACGCTGCAACCTTGATGCGGCTGATCGACTAAGTCGAGCAGATGCGACGACAACACGACGCCGACCTCCAGAACATGTGTGCCCAGCATGAGAATGACCTCGCGGCAATGCGAACCGCTAATGAAGCAGACCTCGCAGCGTTACGCGCCGAGAATGAGCGCATCTGCGCCCAGCTCCCTCGACATCACTCCAATCAACCTCCGCACGACAGTGACGATCATGAGGAGGAGACACATTCAGCCTCCCAATCCCGAGCGATGACTAAGGCACCAACTTCACGACCTGCCACGCACCAGTCTCATGCATCAACGCACAGAACAGGGCAGGGTACCAGCAGGGCCCCCACCCACGTCTCCGAGGGCCAAGAACCCTTCCGCCGTCATCCCTTTGTGGATGGCATCATGGAGACCCCGCTACCCCGCGGGTGGAAGCCCCTCCACCTTGACCGCTACGACGGCACCACGGACCCCGACGAGTACATAGACTCGTACACAACTCAGGTAAACCTTTACACTAACAGCGACGCTATATTGTGTAGGGTTTTTCCGACCTCACTCAAGGGACCCGCGCTTTATTGGTACACCCAACTACCAGCCGGATCCATCGACAGCTTTGCCACCTTGGTACGGCGATTCGTGGCACAATACGCCACTAGCCGGCCTCACGACACAACCTCGGCCGCCTTGGCCAACCTTAGGCAGAACGACGATGAACCTCTGCGAGCTTTCATGGAGCGCTTCTCCAACATCTCGGTTCGCATCCGGAATCTAAACCTGGAGGTCGCCCTGCACACCATGCTCATGGCACTGAAACCCGGATCGTTCGTTGACAACCTATGCCGCGACGCCCCCCGCGACATGGATGAACTGCGTGCCCGCGCCGCTGGCTACATTTAGATGGAAGAGCACTCGGCCTTCTGCGACCAAGTTCGCGGGAAGGGCCCCGCAAAACCGGAGCAGGGCCACAAAGATAAGGTAAAAGTCAATAATGACAGCCAATTCAAGAAGCCGGCCAGAGCCAACAGAAGCGGGAGGTATGACTTCTACACTCCCCTAAACGCCCCGAGAGTCCACATCCTGGAAGAAGCCAGTAACAATAACCTACTAGCACTCCCACCACCCGGCCACACCCCCAGCAGCGCCGATAGTCCATTGCCGGTACCATAGGAACTATGGCCACACCACTGACGAGTGCCGCACGCTCCGGGACCGCATCGAAGAACTCATCCAGGCAGGCCACCTCGGCCACTACATCCAGCGACAATCAGGTTCCCGAGGTGGGTCTAGAGGCCGGGGACGCGGGAGAGGCCGCGGGTCAGGAGCTCCGATCTCATGTGGCGCCAAGATTTGAATTCAAATTTGAATTTGAATTCAAATCTTAACACACATGTGTAACACCAGATCCCATGGGTGCTAAGTGTATTCAGGTTTGATTTAATGTGCATTTAGGGTTGAATTTGAGTCACACATGTTCAGCCAAGGTGGCGCCATCCATGTGACTCAAAATGCAACTTAAATGCAAGCTAAATTAAACCTAATTTTGCCTAATCCTCTTAATCAAGTATTCCTCCTTAAATCTTAAACTAATGACCTAAATACAATGGTCAATGAAATACAATGAATAGGAAAAATTACAAGAAAGAAAATGAGCCCAATATTGGGTGTCAAAAGCCCAAAGGCCCATGAAGCCCAATTA